CGTCGGCGTTGTTACTTTATTGCGGAAGCACATTAAGTTACTTGTTTAATATAATTTCCTACACTCCAATACACACAACTTTTACATATTTGTATAATTCTCTAGACTATATACACTTTTGATCGATGTTAAAAAAATATTCGATTTTTTGTATCGTTAAATGTATTTTAATCTACTGGAACTGTATGTTGCACACATAGATTGTAGATAATTCTTCGTCGAATAGCTCATGAATATTAATTGCATTATAGTTAATATCACTGTAAGAATATTTTTGTCTTGAAAGGGAATCGACAAAATAACTAATTAATAAATTGGCAAATGATGAAATGCAGGTCTTGCAATTCTTCTACCGCCATAATCTTACAATTTCAAGCAGAATAAGATAGTGAACTAGAATGTAATTTGTACAATTCTCTTGTACGAGCTTTACTTGTTAACCATTTTGTTCACCGAATAATCTTTTTTTTTTTTTTGCATCAGACGACGATACATATAACACGTTCCGTGATGACGAAGTAATAATATTGTCCATCGCTGTGACGAATAACTATAAGGGGTTAATTTACCACTTGCACGCTAGATATATAAAAAAGAATTCTTCCAGAAGAGAACCAAGCTTCTTGAAACGGAATAATCTTTTCCTCTCGAAAGGAACCAACTTTCCACCCTGCACAGCCATGATTCTTCACAAATCGATAGACACTCGATAACAACAAGCCAAAGTAACACGGAGGGCTGAATAACACCGCCACTGAATCGTTCATACATCCTCCAGGGTGCATGAATGAGAAAGCAGCCGATTTCGCGATCCTTTCTCTCTCTCTCTCTTTGACTTCTATTATGTCGGCCCAGGTTGGAACGAAGGTCGAGTCGTGGCAGGGTATACAAAACAAATACAAGGGGAACGACGACGACGACGACGACGACGACGACGACGACGACCAAAACGACCACGACGACGATGGAATAGGAGTACGTGTAGGACGGGGCATTTCTCTCTGGAGAAACCGCTCTCTGTAACCTGTTGCTCCATTCTTGAATTTGTCTGGGTTAAGCCTCTTTGCTACCCCACTCCACGCGTACAAGTTCGTTACTAATTCATCCGCCACCGAATTCGGAAATCGCTGGCCGGAAATCCGATTAGTCGTCCGCCTTGGTCGTCCTTTGCTGATACATTTTCGACACTCTAGGTAATGCTCAAAAGCATTATATTTGAACGTTGTATTTTTTTGGGAGGGGGGAGGGAGGATCCACATTTGCAAGTGGATTAAGTAATTCTTATTACCTTCGAAGATTGGATTTTGGATATATATATATATATATATTCGTTTTTAATAGTTTTAGACTGGTTATTTCAGAGATTTCGAAACATTAGAGTTGGAAAATTTTATTATATGTAACTAAAAGAATAGCAGGAAAATTTGTACACCTAGTATTGAAAATGTTCTGAATTCCACAATGTAAGGAGAAATTAAAGACAACAGTCTTTATCTTGTTCGATGCAACGTAATTTTCCTTGCCTCAATAGATTAGGATTACGGAATTATTTTCACACAATCTCGATGGCCGAAATATATTCGATCTTTGAAAACAAATACGCAGTTGATTTAGTATTGGTCTCAATGTGTAAGCAGGATACTGCGAATACCTAAGTGATCGTGCGATATTTATTACCATGACAGTGAACTATTGATGCTTTTCTAAAAGTTTCACCCTTTCACTTTCAATAGCGAATTCAGTTGTCACGACTTGAACATGGTATGCAAGCTAATTGACGATAATAGAAGCGCAACGCAATATGAAGTGCATTCATAAGAACGCGTGAAACGCATTTCTTATTAACTGCACAGAATGACTCTCCTTGAAACCTAGCGCTATATTTTATACACCTCTTTACTCTCGAACTTGCTTTTGTCACGATCGAGCAGCTTGTGTCGTTGAAGTAATTATCTGTAATACATCAGTCTAATCAGAATAATCTTTTCTAGTCTCGCAGATTAGAAGAAGTAGAACATTCCAATAGAAATATCGCGATGACAGGCTTTGAATTCGCCGTAAGAACGTTTGAATACTGTGTCGAGCTAGAGTTGAATTTTATGAAAAAAAAAAATATTAATTAACGAGAACTGTTTTGATTATTCATATGCCGAAATATTCGAATCGCAAATATTGCAGAATGTAACTTTGATTGTCAACAGTTTAATGTTTGAACAATTGAAACGGGGGAACGTTTGATAAGAAGAGAGGACGAATGAAATTTATATTTCACTGAGAACTAAGTATTTCCTCTGAAGGATTACATTCACTCTTTCCAGTCTGCTTTTTCCCCGGCTCGAGCCATATCTGTCTCATCCAGCTGAAAGAACTACCCTTTCGCTCTACCTTCGCAGGACTTATTTTCAAGCCGGTAGATTTGTTCTACCTTTATCTAAATCTTGAGAAAAGAGCAAACGAAATACACGGCAACAACTCTGATCTTTCACGTACCACGCGTATCGTTTAAATTTCCAGGCTCGTATTTATGATTTTCTTTTCTTACAAATCCGCAGAGATTTATCGAACGTATTCCTTTACTTTCGCAGGGAAAAAAGAGAAGATAATTTTAATTCCATCAGCCGCTTGAAAATAATCATTATAACTACTAGTAGTTTCTTGCGAATAAAGCTTCGTATAATTATATAATTTTCTATATAATTTTTTATATAATTATTTAAATTTAAAAAGAGAAGATAATTTTAATTCCATCAGTCGTTTGAAAATAATCATTATAACTACTAGTAGTTTTTTGCGAATAAAGCTTCGTATAATTATATAATTTTCTATATAATTTTTTATATAATTATTTAAATTTAAAAAGAGAAGATAATTTTAATTCCATCAGTCGTTTGAAAATAATCATTGTAACTACTAGTAGTTTTTTGCAAGTAAAGCTTCGTATAATTATATAATTTTCTATATAATTTTTTATATAATTATATAATTATTTAAATTTAAAAAGAGAAGATAATTTTAATTCCATCAGTCGTTTGAAAATAATCATTGTAACTACTAGTAGTTTTTTGCGAATAAAGCTTCGTATAATTATATAATTTTCCAAAGGAAATGTACGGGCAAAAAGTAATTCTATCTGAAATGATCCATTTCACCAATCTTAATTCTTAATCATTAATAATCACCTTTCGCAAATCAGATTTATACTTGCAAATTTCTCATTATACAATTTCACTCGACTCGTCTGTCTTCGCTCGACTATTGTATAATCGCTCGGCTTTTTTTTTTTTTGACGAGTGACTTGAGCTGAGGTGAGTCAACTTGCAGCAAGTAATTGAAAGAGGGGATTCAATGACGCGCGTAATTAGGCGAGCTGCCGGAATCTCTTAAGACCGAGTTCCACTTACGACAAAACATCCGGATAATCGAATTTTCGCCCCAGCCGGGACGGGGCCGAAGAGCAGGAGAAAGTTAATTCGCGTGGATTAAACGACGCAAATGAAGCATACGGTTGCAACGAGTCACGTAAGAGCCTTGCACAGAGCCATCACACTACTTTCCCAGAAGTTCCAAGCCTTATTCTTCGTTCGACCGTGTAAAATACGCTCTCCTGTCTCACATATCCTGATAAGAAATTCAGCCAAGTCCAATTCTAGAATCCAATCTTTCGCTCCTCCTCTTCGATAACTTGATAAAAAAAATTAAAAAATTACTCTTTTATGTAGATCGTTCTTTGCTTATATCGATTTCAATGAATGAGCTCTCCACGGTTAAGATCCGCAATTGCAATTATACAGCTTGTTGGCGAACCGATTGCTGCACGCTGAAAATTATCGAATTGGAACTTTTTTTAACGCATCTGTCTCAATATCATGTTAATCCTATCTCTTTTCAAGAAAAGAATGATTTCCATCAACAGCTTGTTTCTGAACTTTTGAAAATGACTCTTCCATTTACAGGGACAGTGAACTTGAATTTCGAACGTCACATGTGCAGTGTACTGTACAAATTTTGGAAAAATCACTGTGTTATTTGCAGTATACTACTCATTCGTTGCAGTGAAATTCTTAAGAAAGCAACCAAAGGAGAAAATTGGTAGAATATTTTACTAGACAGATACAAATGTAACTTTCCATCATGAATCGAAGAATTTTATGTTCATGCGACATTATATGATTGTAATAACCAAACATTATAAACCCATGGATAATAATACACCTGCAAATCAGCGCGATACAATAAATATCGTTCGCTCGTTTTCTCCAAAGTTGAAATCAATCCAATCAATTATCATTGCCCATTAATTTTCAATCGAATTACCGGCCGATCGGTCGATTTTTCCCGTAAAAACTGCGATCAACGCGTGTCGCGTAACCCAGCCAGGCGAACGATTAAACGTAACCGAGTACACGAGGACGATCAATTAGCCGGATATCTAATAGCGGGTGGTACATCCGCACAGAAAACACACTGGAAATCTGCTGGTTCGACGCTCGCCTCGATCGTTATGGGAACGATGGAATCTATATCGTACATCAGCCTCGTACTTTCACTTTCGCATGTGCGACTGACAGCGCGACGCGTACATCTATACACACATACACGTATGAATCATTCATCATACACACACGCGTTCGAGTATGTCGCTTATATTCGAGTTTGGCGAGATTTGTGGTATAGCTGTACATTTGGAGATTTCAATTCGAGGTATCGAGTCGTGATCGAATTCTTAATAAAACTTTCTTTTCTTTCTTTTTTTTTTTTTAATAAAGCCACTTAGAATATTAATCCTTAATTATAAATATTCGACAATATTATTATCGAGCGAGTTACGATTTAATAAATCTCGCATGAACAGCAATTTTAAGTTGACTTTTTAAAAATAAATTTATAAAAATTAATTTGATCTGTAATAATTTTTTTGTGTTATTATTATTATTATTATTATTATTTAATATTAATTTAAGTATTGTTTAACTAATTTTCTGCACTGTTCACCTTGGGAATTTTATAAAGTTCTATTTTCAAAGCGTTACTACACGATATAAATTAGTATGTGAATTTTTAGTGATTTCCTGGCTTTGATGATATTTAATAACAGAACGAACAAGTTATTATACACAATGAAACCGGTTTCAACGTTACGTTTACCAGTTTTAAAAATAGCAGCTCAACCGATGACGTTGATTCTAAAACTCTTCTCTGCGACAGTAATATTTTAATCTTGGTAATATCTTGCTTTTACCAACAATTGTCAAAACTGAATCACTTTTGAAGAAAGTACGAAATTTCTATCATGCAATTGAAATTCAAAATATTCTCTAAATCTCAATTAAAAGCTAATCATGCCCAGCCATTCGAGTCAAACTGATCAAAATTCCATATCAACTCGAGATAATCTCTCTATCATCTGCTGTTCAAGATTCCCAATCGACATCCAGCGTCGATCGCGTGATACTGAAACTTTTTTCGTATTCAGTTTCTTTAAAAGAGAAACTCAAATCCTTATCTAAAGTCAAAGAAATCTCTCCACGGAATAAAACTCACGATCGGTCGAAGCCTTAACACTAAACTTGAAACGCGTTGACACGGATCCGAGCCCTATTGTTCGCTGTTGTACGAATTGCGATCGAACTAATCCTGCCCATAATCGATGGATTCTCGCATTTTGCCAAGTGCATTTCGTGCGTGTGTTCGAGAGGTCAATGTCGAGCGTGCGAGGCGTGTCTCGTGTTCCTTTCGGCCTGGAAGAACGAAGAACGACGAGATTATGCAACGATCGCTGGCCAACGGGATAATGGCGAGAGGGGATAATAGAAGCCGAGCAGCTTGCCGGGGGCTTCGAAACTCGAACTCGAACTCGAGCCACTGACCCATAACTCGCGAGCTTCTCGAGTCGATGGAGCTCGATAAATCCGCGTTTTTCACGCTGGCTCGGCTCCCCGGGCCGCCTCTCCCTTTGCTCGTATCATCGGTTTTTATTTAACAGCTCGCTGATCTTACCTGTTCCGATTAGAGCTGAAACGAACCTGGTGGTAAAACCATGGGACGGCCGGTGTAATGTTTCGTTTAAGTGTCGACTGCATGATGTCGGATGGGAATTGTCCGCCGCGATGAATGAACTATCGCAGATGCTACCGCGCGCGAACTTGGAATTTTACGAACGCGGCCGAAGAAATAAAAGTTAGACGGGAGTGGAATTTTTCACATTGATTCTAATCTTTCGCGGAGATTTTATTTCTCTTCAGTTTTTATTCTCGCGTAATCTTTTATTATTATTGTATTTTATTATATTATTGTTGTATTTTATTCTATTATTTTATTATTATTGTATTTTATTTTATTATTATTATAGTATTATTGTATTTTTTAGTATTATTGTATTTTATTTTATTATTATTCTATTATTTATTATTATTGTA